AAGAGATATCGATAGGATAGATGGGCTAGGAAAATACGTATTTTGAGCTCTCTACCTTTGGCAAAGTAGGAAGGAAAGATTGGCCATCGGTGATCGGTCCTGTGGGAACAATGTTCCGTCCTCTCAAGGACGCGTGGTCGATGGTCTAACCGTTGAGGCATGCAAAACGTGAGCACGCGCCCCCCCCGTCCCCGTCCCTTTGGTTGATTTGTTGGAAACCTGGGGGTGGGGGGGGTGTATTGTGTATCCAACCAGCTTCACACTTTCGGGGACGCGGTCCGCCCCTCGGACTCGAAACCGCGATCATGACGGATACTCGGGGAAAGTGCTTGCAAGCCTAAGGGCAGAACTACGCGACGACTACTACCGCTCTTCGAGTCTGAGCATTCGCGGCGTCTGGAACGCTTGTAGAGTCATGCATGCGCCTCGCAAGTGCCCCCAAAGATGTGGGTCTTCCCTTTCCCTTCTCGCATAAGCTACCCGGCCACGGTTTCGTCCGGTTCTTAACCATTGCCAGCCTGCGGGGATAATAGCGTCCCCTCTGTCCGGTTTCAGCAACCCGGGGGTTACACGCACGCTATGAACTCAACCGTTTGCTTCCGCCGCCATTGCCATCCCCACATCCACCACCGGCACCATCTAAGGCCCCGCTTGACAATGCTTCTTGTGCTCCTTGTTCTCGGCTTGACGTCGTTGGTATTTGAAAAAAAATCGATAATTGAAATTGCGCACGGCAATCAACTACATTGCACACGCTTCAATCTTGATGTTTGAAACTGCAAAAAATGTAAAATTCCACCAGGACAATCGTATACAGTCCACCTTGTTTGCCCATGTACACACGGGGCATCCAAACGTCCACTGACATGTGGAGCTTGCCACTCCGAGACATGTTATTCTCGTTCACGAACACATCACGTCCGTATGCGTCGATGCCACGCACGCGTTGTTTTTTTGTAGTCGCGGATTAGCATGGTTCCGTGCTACCGTACACCCCGACGCCGTCAAACTTAGTCGTGACAGAACTTTGACGGTCGAATGCTGCTGTGATCGGCGTCGTTGGCGACCGAACGCATGGTGGTGCTCGCTCGCCGGACCACTCTTGGCGTCAGTGGTCGTTGCGGGCGTTCCAGTTGGGGGCGTCTACCGCACCGCCCTCAGCTGTACACACAAAAATGCATCTGCCTGGCTTGGGAAATGGGTAATCAACAGGTTGTCATGCCGCGCTATAACCTCTTGGGGTGCGAGAGAAGAGACCAGCTGTTCGCTTGGAGACAGGGAGGTAATTCTCTCCAGACAGGGTTACATATTCCATGCGAGTTAGGTTGTACGGGGCTCACAGGAGTGCCTCGCGCATTGCCCCGACCACCAGCCTCTTCAGTTGGAACTCTTGGTCCCAAGGGAGGGGGCTGTCCGGCTCA